GTATGAGCTGAGCTCGGTCTAATTTGTTTAAATTTTATTTTGTCTTAATTTTTAGATCGTACCGAACCTCAATTTTCGAGGTTTCTGTTTTTGTTTTTGTTTATTTTTATTGATTTTTTTCATAGGGATAATATTATTTATTTCAAAAATGGAAAGTATGTATGATACAATGTAGTGTGGTGTAGGATATGGTAGTGTGTGTTCGAGCGTATATGATTAAGAAATGTGGTGTTATGCCAGGTTTCAACCACACACATAACATCAACCTGACTTAAAATCGATATAACGTTCAAACACTTATCTGTATGTGCTGCGTTGTCCATGTTGAGTCCTTGTGGGTAGAAGAGCGTCATCCTCATTGGGCCTAACATTGTTCATCATCGGTCAATACTACTGGGCTCTCCTCTTTGACGATGTCAGCCATTCCTATATCATTGCCTGTCGTCGAAGAGTCCGTCGTGGAAAGCTGAGGCTGCGTATTGCTATCCATCGTGTCGGATGATTGTGTCGGGGAGACCGTTGGTATATGAAGTCGTCCGGGTTCCGCACGCGCTGATTCTTTGGCGTTTACCGGGATTCGCGGGTTAAGTGAGAAGAGGTTTTTATCGTGCTTTGCTTGGTAAGCCTAATGGAGACGGTCCGCGGTAGATTGGAGGATGTCTGCGTTAGTGGAGTTGACAAGTGGGCTCAGTAGTGCATCCATGCTGCGTGCAATTTTTTTTGGCGCTCGTTCATGTGTGCAGCGGGCCTCCCGCTTGGTGCGGAGATAGTGAATTAGAGCTGCTTTCGTTGCGTCGGGATGTTGTTGGGAGCGGGGTTCGATGTTTTCATCAAGCTGCCATTTCCACGTAAGGGCTGCTTGTCGTTTCACCTGGGCGACAGAGTCGCTAGGAACACAAAGGCGGATGAAACTGGTGGAGCTTCCGCGGCGATTTGGTTGAGATACCGATTTAGACGGAAGATACCAGAGAAAGTGGTGGCGATTGAGGGCTGGTTGGGCATGCCAGTATTTTTCAAATACTGATTGGGATGGGGGCTTGCCGTTAGGGAAAATTGCTCTGAAGGAGAGCCAAACCGCAGTTATGTCATCCATTTCATGAAGAGTTTTGTCCGGCATCGGGCGGCCCACCACTTTCGTCAAAAGGTGTTTGGGTACTGGTGGCTACGATTGGGACTGAGAAGCTGGTGGGGTCGGGCGTTTTTTAGGGCTCGGTTTTGCAGGTTTGTCCACTTTTGAGCGGTAGCTGGGAGGCTCACTGCTGCTATTGGGCGCTTGTGACCGCGGTCTTTTCGCAGGCGGAACAGGCGGGCTTGTGGAGCCAAATCGGAAAGTGTCGGGTTTGTCTTCATCTATAGGTGCACGGGTTTGGGATTTAAGGTCCCGGAGTTCGGATTCAAGG